GTTGGTTACCCTATTATAACTTTTTGACAGGGTATTTATTAAAATTAACATTTAAAAATATTTGTCAAGAGTTGGAAATATCACATCAAGAGTAGTCTCTGAATCTACCATTTAATTATTTATTTAGATGGGGATCTCACCATATAACTCAGAGTGATTTGGGATTTATAATACTCCTAATTCTACCTTCCAAGTGCTGGGGCTCTAGGTTTGTACCACCATGCCCTAAATTAAATCTGTTTCTAAAGAAAAGCAGACTCCTAACACTCAAGTAGAACATGGCATGTGGAAAGGGTATCAGCCAGACTGAATGGCATCTGGGTAATGCTGTTGCGAAGACAAGTATTTCCAAGGACAAGAGCACAGTGTGTCTCAGAGCACTGCTTGTAAGCAAGGACACACTGCCACCTTGAAAGGAAATAAAGGCCACCCTTTGTCCATAGGGAATGCTGCAGTTATTCCCCTTCAAATTTAATTCAAACAATACTGAGATCTGAAACATGGCGATATCTACAAATTAGAGGGATACTTGTTTTTTTTTTTTTTTAAAGGAAAGAAAAGAAATCCAGGCAACAAAGAAGCAAAGAAGTGCCTCAAAGCAGCACCAGCAGCCCTTCTGATGTTAACCACTACATTGCTATGAAAATGTTTTCAAAGTCTACATTGAAGATGAAATTTTTTGGGATCGTTATATGAAATATGCCTATTGTAAATATTAAAACTTAAAAATTGTTCTCAAGTGTCAATTTCACCTTTGAAAAATGGTGTGTAATATGCAAATAAATGTCATTTGAATACCCCATATTCCTTTCAAATTAGTATTCCAAAGTTAACTGAAGAAAACTCAATACTCATTGAGTTCTATCCTTCAACTGTACCTCTACAATACGAATACATTAAAGGAATTCATTTCTATCAGAAGTGGCACCTTATTTTTTTCAAGGGACTTTAGAATCTGATACTAATTATGATGCATAAAGCATCTTATGTACAGATTATACTTGAATTTACTGAATATATCAATGAAAGATTTCTGTGAGAAATCCTTCATTTTAATCTGCTATTAAAGTCCCATATGTATATTGATCAATAGACAAAATTATTACAAAGAAACTTGACCACACAATGGCATAAGGACACTTTACTACATGATAGAACTCAAGGAAAATTGGTGTAGAGAGTATATATGCTATAATTGCTAGGTTCTAAACAAACTGCTTAATTATTGTCACAACAATTACTACAGCTTGACATGTCTGTTAAAAAAAAAAAAAATGTGAGCTACATATGCATAGAAATGCTCAGTCCCCTCAATCTTAAATTTTAAAGGAATTTTGAGCCATGAGGAAGCTCAAATAGTGTTTTCCCCTTTTTAGAGGTTACTGACACTTGCTCAGCAAGTCCTTTCTAAGACATTATTGCAAATGTAAAGGCCTCAACATAAGGATTTTGAATGTAGATAGCAGTACAATTTCTTTTTAGTTACTGAAGTGTCAAATTCCCATACAGCTCATGTCTTGCAGGTCAGTCCTACAAGACTCTGAGACTAGTCTGTTTTGAAAGTATTTCAATGCAGTATTACTAGTGTCCACATGTAGACATATGCATTGACTGCTTTGTTTTTAATTTCTTAGATCCCAGTTTTAAAAAAACAAAATTACCACCTGAAGTATATCAAGGGTACTCAATGGCATGCCACCCTCGTGGTCTCTTTTCTGAGTTAAAGGCTGGGTCTTTAACAATCATGGATGTGTGGCAGAAGACTTCAGTGCTCACAGTGAAGACAAAAGGACCAGGACTCTGAACTCAGGCTAACAAGAGGCCACTGCAGATCAGCTAAAATATCCTTTCTGCTTCTTTTGCATACTCCTGGCACTGTCTGCCTCTGAGCTGAAAAATACAATTCTTTGTCTCCTAAATAAATTCCTTTCACCTAAATAAAATTTAGGAGAAAAAAGAATTAGGAGCATCAGAAGGATTTCACGTCACAATCACATGTACAGTAAAAGCTAAATCAAGTATACTGTGGGGGGGGGGGCATTGACTCCAATAGAAAGCTGGCTAAAAATATATCCAGGCAAATCAAACCATTTGAAAATAGGGCTTGTCATGGAAACAGCATCCTAATGGGATCATATCATAGGTGGCTTTATGGCTTCCCAGGTAAGTTCTATTTTGCCATTCAATAGTGAATGAGGCAAAGGCAAACAAAAACATCCCTGATTTTATGTATCACACATACCTTAAAATAAATTGCTTTATGAAAACAAAGCCTGACTTAAAATACTGTTTGAATGTTTGTGTCAAATTCACACCTGCAGCATTTTAAGGACACCCACAGTAACACTGGCTTTGACATTTATTTGGGATAAAAATGAATGAATTATCTTGAATATTTTCCCAGAAGTTACTTAATTACCTAATGAGACATGTTCTAATTTGGCTAAAGAATTACTGTTTTTCATGTGTTTATCTATATAAAAGCTTTTCAAATACCACCTTTTCTATTAATGTAACAAAAAAATGAAAATATTGCTTCTTGCTACTTAAAATGGTATGTTTTCCATTAAATTAATTTTATATGTCTTAAAATGAATTAAGACTTATAACAATTTCCTGACAACTGTGACAGTCACTCTACTGTATTGATGATCTTTTTTTTTTAGCCCTTTGTCCTTCTCTTTTAAAAAGTAATGGAAAAATATAATAAAGGTGTTTTTAATCTCCAGATATTTGAATTTTTGCAGCAATGTTCCTTGCTCAAACTATTCCCATATTATGAAATGTAAATTGTGTTTTTCTATTTTAAAATTTCATGTACACACACACACATACATATAGTCACATGCATGTGTACATGTACATGTACACACATACATATAAATTCTGATGAAGAGTAGGTCAACTGGGAAATTCCTCAGGGAAAGGCTCTTTGAACAATATGAAAATGCAATCTTACGAAGTAAACAAAACAAAACAACAACAACAAAAAGGCTTCCACAGTCTCCTGCTGTCTTAAGATGCGTACTGAGTCAGTGGCCACTTACAGATTGCCTGTTTATGATTTTTCGAATGTGCAAGGTGATGCGAAGATAAGACAATACCTCATAGAGCATCACAAAGGCAATGACTGAACGATAAACCTCCATATAATAAAAGTCATTAAATGTATCCCTTGAAAGAAAAAAACAAAAGCTTCAATGTTAAAAATAAGAGCTAGTCTTTAATAATAATATGTTTATATTATATTACCATTATTATTCAAAACAACATTGAAGCCTTCTGTTCTCTGCTGTCAAGAAAGCAGACTTTGCGTGGGACTTCACAGACACCACTGGAAAGGAAGGCAGACTGGGTCTTCTTTGGACTAGACTTTCTGTCCCATTCTTTAGGTTCTGACATTGTGAGGTATTATAAACTGAGAAGACTGTTCAGATTGATCTATTATTTTGAGGCACAAAACAATGTAATTTCATACAAAACTTTCATTTTTTATTTGCGAAATTAAAAATATGGCATTTTATTTATATATATATATATAAACTTCTATTCCTCTATAAATATAAATGGTTTTGTGATAAATGGACAGAATAAATGCATACCAAATTCAAAAACCAATGTCATTTTAGGAAATGACAGACATAGATAAATTTAGATCCTACATGCCGGCATTTTTGATAAACTCTTAAAGTTTAAACACTACAATCAGGAGGATTGCTTTTCTCCGTTTCATAGAGAACTAAAGTGAATGTTTCTAAATGGCTTTGGGAGATTTACACTTGACACACTGCTGTAAATCTAAGCGGGAGCACGCACAATAGGATGCATTAGGAATGGACACTCTTCCGATTTAGCATGCATGCCCAGGTTGTATTTGTTTCTCTCACCCATCAATTAGTCTACCTCCTCTGCTTTCTGAAGTATATCAGGCTATTTCTGGGGGTGTGGATGGTTCCTCCCTCAGAACGTGTTGCTGAGTAATCATAATGCATTCATAGTATACAACTTCTAGGTTGTAAAGTTGATACAAGTCTAATTACAATTTGATTAAAACCGGAAAACAGCATTTCTTTTTGAGGAAGTCCATCCCACTGAGATCTCCTTCAGTTTTCATATTCTGTGTATGCTCTGTTATCCTGTTAAGGGAGGCAAAGATCAACTCCTTCACCAGGCTTTCCATGAGACCTCAAAGTCTCCACATCTTAGAATTTTAGATTTAGTAAAATCTAAAAGCAGGTAGCCTGGGGAAGGGGGGCAGTTTGCCAGCCATCAAAATGCAATTAGAACTAACATTTTATAATCTCCCTCTACAGTTCCTCCCAACCCACACAAAGCTTGCTGCTTTTCCACAATCTCACTAGCCACATCTTTTCATAACGATGGCCAAACCCATAGGATGTTATAGAATCTAAACAGTAAAATGAGCTCACCCATAAAAGAGTCAGACTTTCCAAAGTTAAGCATTGGTTACCGCACTTACTCTCTGACCAATTTAGGTGGAAGAGGGGAATATCTGTCTGAGGGACACCAGTGTTGAGGGAGGCTGGGTCAAAGGGCAGTAGCCACCCGTGTGCCTCTATGAACTCTATGGAAAAAAAAAAAAAAAAAAAAAAAAAAACAGGGAGAGACCTCTATACTCTCCACCTCCACACTGCCTCTGAAACTGCAACCTGGGAGGAACTGGAATGGGCAGGGCCTACCTCAGAATGGGGAACTTTGTGGAGTTCTGCACCTTAAAAGTTTTCACGCAAGGAGGGGAGAGAGAAGCTAAAGGAAGCAAAGGGAAATGACCCTGGAGAGGCAGCCCCTGCCACAGCCCGCAGTGTGATAACCAGGCCCATGATCCCAGGACTGGATGAGGGCACAGGGCACAGCACTCAGCAAGTGTGCTCTTTTCATTCACCTCCTCTGCAGTCTTCAGAAAAAGTGAGAAAAGTTTCAAACACTTAAGCCACCCTAAATAATTAAACATTTTTAAAGAAAAGAAAATCGCGTGTTCGGTAGTCTTTAAATACAAATATACTTACAAAAATCTTACACAGGGCTATTTACAATCATAAAAGCGTACAGTCCTGGTAGCAGAGCTAGGGCTAGAGAGACGGTCCACACACACACCCCTCTGGCAGTTGGGCCCTTTCTTTCCTTTACCCCGGGGACAGAAGCTATTGTAGGAGCTGTGGCTGTTTGTTGAAAGCCTGCAAAAGTTGAGTGTCTAGCGTGGAAGCCTGGAGAAGCCAGGCTTGGCAGGCATTCCTTGGTGCCAGTTTTCAGGCTGATGGCTGGGATCTGGCCAAGACCCGGGGAAAGTAGAGTTCGGGTCTCAGACTGTAGTCTCCCCCTGTTTGCTGTTGGTAAGCCTGGTGTAGAACTTCCTCCAGGAGTTCAGTGTCTTGCCAGACCAGATCCAGAAGCCCGATGTGATGCCCACGATTAGCGTCATGAGATATTTGATCATGAAGACTGTAAAGTCCGGGCTCATGGGTGGGTGTGGTGGGACGCCTCCACCCCCCTGGAGGTGAGGGCAGGGGATGGCATAACTCTTGCAGCTTTGGGCCACCCAGCTGCGCTCCCACTGGTCCCGGAAGGCCTGCTCATAGAAGTAGCAGGCGATGACGATGGTGGCCGGCACGGTGTAGAGCACTGAGAAGACTCCGATGCGCACCATGAGCTTCTCCAGCTTCTCGGTCTTGGTGCCGTCATGCTTCATGATGGTGCGGATGCGGAAGAGTGACACGAAACCAGCCAGCAGAAAAGAGGTGCCGATGAATAGGTATACGAAGAGCGGCGCCAGCACAAAGCCACGCAGTGCGTCCACGTTGTTAAGCCCTACAAAACACACTCCACTCAGTACATCGCCGTCCACCTGACCCAATGCCAGGATGGTTATAGTTTTGATGGCTGGCACAGCCCAAGCGGCTAGATGAAAATACTGTGAATTGGCCTCGATGGCTTCGTGACCCCACTTCATGCCGGCGGCCAGGAACCAGGTGAGGGACAGGATCACCCACCAGATGGAGCTGGCCATGCTGAAGAAATACAGCATCATGAAGAGGATAGTGCAGCCCTCCTTCTTAGTGCCCTGCGCCACTGTGCGCGCCCCGTCCTCTGCAAACTTGTCGTTACACACCACCCGGTCCTCCAGCAGAAAACCAGCGATGTAGGCCACGGCCACCGCTGTGTAACAGCCGGACAGGAAAATGATGGGCCGTTCGGGGTAGCTGAAGCGCCGCATGTCCACCAGGTACGTGAGCACCGTGAAGAGCGTGGAGGCGCAGCACAGCACGGACCAGATGCCAATCCAGGTGCGCGAGAAGCGCAGCTCCTCCGGCCCGAAGTACATGAGCCCGTACACCTTGGTGGGTTCACAGGGCGCGCCACAGTCCTTCTCCCCAAGAAAGTGGTAGTTGAGGTAGGAGGGCACCCTGAGGGCGCGGGGGCAGGAGAATTTGCCCCGTTCCACCGGGCCCGCGCCCCCCGGGTAGCCGCCGCGGTAGACACCGCCTCCGTGTTGTGGGTTGCTGGTCCAGAACTCGGGCAGCAAGGAGGGAGTCGGGGTACCTTTATCGGATGTGTTCTGGCCCACGCACAGCTCTCCAGCTCCGTGGACCGGGAACTTCTCGCACTTGAGCGTGTCTGGCCACTGGAAGCCGAACTTGTTCATGAGCGCCTCGCAGCCCTGGCGCGCGCGCTCGCACAGGGAGCGGCAGGGCGGCAGCGCCTGCTCCAGTACGGTGCACACAGGAGCATACATGGAGCACAGGAAGAATTTGAGCTCGGCGGAGCACTGCACCTTCACCAGCGGGTAGAACTGGTGCACCTCCAGGCCAGCGTCCTCCTGATTCGTGTGGCCCAGCAGGTTGGGCATGATGGTCTGGTTGTATGCGATGTCCGTGCACAGCGGGATGGAGATGGGCTGGCAGTAGCCGTGGTCCGGGATGGAGATGCCCCGTTCGCCGTTGTACTGCTGCCCGCTCTGCTGCTGCTGGGGCGGCGGCGGGGCTTGCTGGCCCGGCCCGGGTACCTGACCCGCCGCCTGCGCTCGGACCCCCAATAGCAACGGAGCCTCCAGCAGCCAAAGCAGCAACAGCAGCAGCAGCCCGCTCGGCCAGCGCCGGGGGTCAGGCCGGGGGCGGCGGTGGCCGATCGTGTCCCCGCGCCCCACCTCCTCCTGCTGCTCCCGAAGAGCCCGGGCACAAAGTTCCCAGCTCGGCCGGCCGGCGGCCGGGGACTCGCTAGGCGCCGCCTCCTCAGCCATACTTTTTGGGCTCCCTCCTCAACGCCGGTCGGCTGGGGCAGGCAGCGGCGCGGCGGGTGGCGGCTCCCACAGTGTTCGGGGAGATCTGGTCCCCTCCCGTGCCCTCCGTCGGGCTGCGGTCGCGCTCCGCCCGCTCGCCCAGATCCTGCGTTGAGTCCCGCAGCCGCCGCCGCCGCCGCAGAAACTTGCGGTTCATGAAGCGCGGGAGGCAGGGAGAACGCGAATGGTTCCGGCACCCCGGGGTCGCGTCCCTCCTTCCCGGCTCGCGGCACCGCGCTAGTGGCCACAGCCGGGGAGAGGAGCGGGCAACTCTCGGCAGCCTCGCCGCCGCCTCGGATCCCCCCTGCGCCTCCGCCTCCTCCTCCTCGGCCGCCTCCTGACCATTTGTGTCAATCCCTCAACTCGCAGCCTCTCCTCTCCCTCGCGCGCCCTCCAACCGGTTTCTAGGCGCCCCGCAGTCTGTCTTTCACCGAGAGGGAGGAGCCTTGAAACCGACGCGGAGCTGGAGACTCAGGGACCGTCGCCCAATCGCAGCACCCGCTTCACAGCGCAAAGGGAGCCGGTTCCCTCCCAGAATGGGCTGGAACCAGCTGCAGGCGGGAGGAGGAGGAGGAAGTGGTGGCGGAGGTGGCGGCAGAGGCACCGCTCAGGCACAAAGAGTAGCTATGAAGCGGGACAGGCTTGGTTGCTTTTGCTTGTGCGGAAGAAAGGGCGAGGACAAGTAAGAGAATAGTCCCATATGCTACTGGAGATAATGAATAGGAATCCGCGGGCCGCGGGATTTAGCTCTGCTTGGCTTTTTATCTACTCTCATGTTTTAAAAATCCTACCCTTGACTCTGGTCACAAACAGCTACTTTGAGCTCTGGCTCTGAATGCATGGCCCTGAGTTGAGAGTCGGGTTTCCTTTGAGTCTAAGTCTGTTGAGGTTTTGTTTAAAATATGACTCCAATAAACCTTGGGGCTCGCAGGCTGGGCTCGGCGGGCTTTTGGAAGCGCCATTTCCCTGGATCTCTGTCAAATGAAAACAACAGAACAGAAAGTTTAGTGGGATGTAAAATGTAAACTCAGATGCGCTTTCTATGAGTAGAGTGCTTCTTGTGGTCATACTTTACCTCTTCCCTTTAACAGAATCAGAGACAGGAGCAAAAGAAAGCTAGGTGTTCATTAAATGCTAGTGGAAAGGAGCTTGAGAACCGAAGCATTGGGTGCCCCAGCATCAGACCCAGGAGCTGTACACCCAAAAGGAGGAGCAACCCCAAACGCTTAGGGGTCCCCTTTTGAACTCCGGACACTGCCCGGTTGATATTTAAGTTCTTCAGCTGAAGTGCTCATAGCTGAAGGTATTGGTTTGAAATACAAAACACACTCCCCAAATCGAGTCTGAAAGCAAAGGACCAGCTACACTCCCTCAACTCCAAAAAAGGGACAGTCTGCCTCAGTAGATATACTCTCTTGTTTTCCTTGAAAGATTATTTTAAAGAGCTCGTGTGATGCATATTTATCAATAAAGTGTTTATTGTGTTCTACTAATTCTACCGATACATTCCCCTTTGATTAGCCTTATCCCGAGAGACTGTTCCCCGATTTTCTATATTGTTTATATATTCACTCGTTCAGTAGATACTTACCAGACATCCATTACTCAGTGAGTACTGTCTCAGGGAGTGGGGAACATAGATGAAACCCCGGTGTTTCTTTAAGGAGGGCACAGTACAGTGGGCACAGGAATGTAAACCCATGATGCCAGGGTTCACCAGGATCAAAAGGGCACAAGGGAAACAAATGACCAACAAACACAGACCACTAGGAGTGGGAGGGGTCCTTAGGAGAGACCGATGCCAAATGCAGAAGCCAAAGAGGCTCAGAACTGCTAAGTTTCTGAAGGGCAGCAAAGGAGAGTGTGCTTGCCCTGGGCAAGAAGGGAAAGAAAGGGCTCTTTAGCTCATACAAAATAGCAGGAGCCAAGCTGTTCAAACAATAGGGAGCTATTGTAGGTGACACCCCCACCCCCTACACACACACACACACACACACACACACACACAGAGAGAGAGAGAGAGAGAGAGAGAGAGAGAGAGAGAGAGAGAGAGAGAGAGAAGCAGGAACTTTCCAGGGTGACTAGAGAGGGATCAGGGCTCAAGCCATCATGGAGAAACATGAACATTCCTCTACACATACAAATCCTCACTCAAGATGAGACTTGTCTACATACTGACAGGCACTGCGAAGCTTGTCACCATGTTGGTGTCTGAGGGAACATGCTGTCATATCTTTATGTGTTAAATCAGAGTGGCATCTATTTGTCTCATAGATATATCATCATTGTTTTTAATATTCTTAGAAACTGTAATATTCACTGTAAACTTGTTTTGAGTCTTTGCATGGAAGGTCGCGTGAAACATACTATCCTCCTGCTTCAGCCTCTGAGTAGCTTGAAGCACAGGCACATACCACTATGGCTAGCATGTTTTCAAAGAGAAAGGTGTATTTTTTTAAATCCCCAGCATTTTTAAGAGCAACCGGTACTGAGTATACAATAAGGTCACGGATATTGTGGGGACTGGAGTTGAATGTTAAGTCATGACACATTTTGATAGTGAAAAGGAGAGGGAGCACAGGTCCTCTCAGGTCTTTTGAACAGTCGTGTTCATTGTTCATTTTACCTACCTGACACCCTAATCCGTAGGGTCCCAAAACTATTTCTCTAACCTTCCACTCTGCTATTTATTCATCTTTGTTAACAGTACCCTACTCCTAGGGTCTTTACTGAGCCATTTGCCTCCTGTTCGACGTCTCTTACACAGACATATCTATCTTGTGTTTCATTCTCTTTAAGGTTATGGAGCTGACTTCACTGTGCGAAGTGAGAAGTGAATTTATTTATTCAAATATATTAGCTACCAAGAAGCATCATATACATTAAGCATTTGCTGCTACTATCGCTCAGCAGCCTGGCTTTCTCCTCGAAGAAATAGGGCAAAGTACAGACCAGTGCAGAGGGCTTGGTTCTGTTTCACGGAGTAAGAAACAGCCGATTGCAAAGTTGTTCTAATGAGACTTCTGAACGGTTCATCTCCTACCTAGTGATGAGATTAAGCAGAAAGGAGGCTGTTATGTTTGGATGACAGACTTGGATGGCCTCCATTGAATAACAGAAATTATATCATGGATTAAGACTATATACTTTTGAGACTGTACGTTACATGCTTTCTTGTCATTGCTTTACCTAAATTGTGTTGCTTGAACTGTATTTTGTTATGGATATTATTAACCCTCCCCCCTTTACTTTAACAGGTGAACCTAAGTCTCACAGTATTTAACATTTCTAAACTCCCAATGAAAGAAAGTACCAGAGTAGACCTAGAGTCTGACCAAGTTCATAGTTTCCCACTGAGTGCAATCTGTGAACATGCCCACTCCTAACAGAAGGAAACACCATTTCTAGGTGAAGATCATGGGGATTCTTCAACATAGTTTCCCATTCCAGGATACAAGTGTAGGTGAAACTCTGACATTCAGTGTCAAGTTGGGCCAGCATTTTCCAAATTGTCTTCTGTGTAATATATGATCTTCCCTAAGGGTGTTCTGTGAAGTAAGTTTATTCAAAGATATTAAAAAAAAAAAAAGACTATGTTCTTATTGGAGATTTATGATAAAGTCTTTGAGACATACTAAAGTAAATAAAGAAACAAATAAATCTCACTTTAAGTTAGAATTTTACACACACACACACATATGCAGGCACACACAAGCACACACACATACACACATGCGCTCACATATACACACACGCACGTGCACACATGCACATGCACACACACGCACATGCGCACATACACACATACGCACATGCACGTGCACACGCACACACACAGAGGGGATCCTATCAATATTCTGCTTGACATCAATGCCCTCTAGAATACAGTTTGGGAAAAGCTGGAGTGTGCTTAATGTATTGTAAAGTTGCAACAGCTTGGACTCGTCTGGATCATGTAGGTGTCTGAGGGAAAAGAGAAAGCTTGCTCCATTGTGCTATGGAGCCCTACACTAGAACTTTACTCACTGAGCTATTTCCTCCATACAACCAACACCTGTATACATTTGCAGCTATTCTAAAAACAAATGTCTCTTCTATTTTCATGTTTACAGAAATGCAGTTTTAGTATTGATGAGATGTTTCTTGCATTCATTTGTACTCAGAACTTCAGCTTATAACTGCCTTTAAAATTTCTTTCTTTAAATATAAGCACACTCATAGTTTTCCTTAACCCAACTTAGTGAAAGAGATTTTTAGGTATGGTCTGCTCTTTCTCATAGGTGGAAGTAAAATTAACTAAACAAGTAAACAAATGAACAAACTGCACCTAGATGTAGAATAGGGATTATTGAGGTTAGGAAGTGAGGGGAAGGCAGGAAAAGACATCTTAGTTCGATCAGTCAGCACACACTACGTGCATTGAAATATTACACTGATGCCCATTAATAAAATCAAAACAAAGGAGACTGTCATAAAGTTTACCTCACAGAGTTCTCATAGTTGATTCATAGTAAGATCATAAACCAACTTAATCATCTAAGCAGCTATAATTTATTAGTATTTGCATTTTAAATATGGCAAGAAGATGGTTGTGTCCATTAGATCTAAGTGTGAATATTTCCACACAAGTATCACGGGACATTTTAAGATAGAAATATGAAATATGAAGATGGAAAACACACTAAATTTTTACCAACCAAGTAAACCCATATTACTTCAAATTTTCTTGGTGTTCAAAGATGAAGCTATGAGGTAAGGTTTTTGCTGAGTGCATGTCTTCATTCTGAAAAGGACTGATTCTGAAGCCCCTGCTCTCTCCTGTTCCCAATTGGTTCTCTTGTCACTGTACAGTTGGGGATTGTGTGTACTAAGTGACAAACTTCCCCACAACAGCCAGACATTTCTATTGGACTTATAATGTAGTCTTTCTTGAGGTTCCAGCCAAGAAATATAGATGAAACCTCATAAATTAAAACCTTATGCCCAGTATGCTTGAAGAGGCCTGTCTGGTGGTTAAGATGTGGGGAGCTGGGTTTGCAATCATTTGGTACGGAAAATAAGAGAACAAGGAAAACA